GAATTGCATCTTGCATTATTGGAGTTAATCTTTCATGGACATTGCCATAACCAATTCAGTTATAGAAGCCTATGGTTAGATGATGTACAAAATTATAGTCATATTGCTATCTCTACTCAAAATCTTCATATTTCATTCAGATGATCTACTTGTTTTTAGCCATCTTTTTTTTTTAATTTTAATTTTATTTTTGTATTTTCAGATTCAATTTGAACAGAAAATTGAAGAACTTGTTGCTATTAACAAAAATCTGGAATCTGAAATTTCAAGCATCGAAAAAAAATATCACGAAGAAAAGAGTCGAAATGATCAACTACAAGATGCAATTGGTGAACACGGATCAGAAAATGCAGTTGAGGTAAGTTTAGTTTGGTTATTTATTTTATTACAGGAATTTACAAAGCATTTTTATTTTCTATCTTATATTTGTTACCATGACTACACATGGCTGAAATATCAACTAAAAATACCATTTCAAATATGATCTTTCAAAATTTAAATGCAAAGACATCTGTCTTCTTAATTCTTCTCTTTTTGTTTCTCATATTCTCTCACACTTGGTAACCCCTTGCATCTTAGTGGCTGTATTGCCTTGCTTGGGGTGATATAATTAAAAGAAACGTTCCTTGGTTGTCACATCAATGTAAACCTCCTTTTAGTCTTAAAGGCTGAAACATGTCTCACAAGGATTTTTATCACTTTGTCTTATATTTTCCTAAGAAATGATTATATATTTGTTTTTTCAGGTTCTTGTTGCTCATACTGAAGAAAGCACTGAGAAAATAACACAAATGGAACAAATGCTTGAAGACTGTGAAGACCAAAAAAAAAATCTCGAAGTAACAAACACTCATCTTACAAATGATGTTCGGACATTTAAAGAACACACTGACCAGCTGATTAATGATTTAAAAAATATGTCTTTAATTAAAGAGACTATACAGTTGGAAAACAACAAACTGACAGAAGAAAATTTGTACTTGCGACATGAATATCAGGTATTTGTTGATATTTTTAAATATTTCTTTCAAAATAAATGTGAAACATTATCTGATCCCCAAAAAACAAAAGGTTTCTGATATAGTTGGTATGCGTTGATGCATTTTTTTCATATGTGAAGATTATTTGTTTTTTTTGCACAATTTTTTCCCTCTCTTTTTGCTAATAAAAGTTTGATTTATAAAATGTGTCCTTGTTGATTGATTTGTTGCAGTGCTGTCATGATTTTAATGGCATCATCATTTGGTGCTCTTTGAAGCCTCAGCTGGCATGTCCACCTTCAAAAACTATTTGTGATAATTCTAATTTGCTGTTTTATTAGACACTAGAAGAATGTTAACTCCAAAAAGAATTTGAAATTTATTGTATCTTAAAAACAAAAAAACAGAACTTTATAAATGTATATAAAGTCACGTAATATATGCAAATATATTAAAACAAAAGAGGTGTTGGTTGATTTTATTTATTTATTTATTTTTTTTTTTTTTGTAGGTTATTTAAAGCCAAAAAATATTTCAGATTGCAGGAGGTTGTTTACAGTACACGACTGTCTCCTATCTAAGTACTAACCAGACATGCTGCTGCTTAACTTTAGTGATTGAATATAAACTGTTGTTTTCAGTGTGAAAGGCGGGGCTAGGATAAAATATTACTCACTGTAAAGTGATTTATTGGAAAATATAACAAAATGGAAACAACAACAAAAATAACTCATTGGTTCCTTGTTTTTATTGAGTCCTGAAGAGTGAGGAGCAATAACTGATGAGCTTTTCTCTTTTTTTCCTTTTTTATTTTTTTCCTTTTTTATTTTTTTCCTTTTTTCTTTTTTTCCTTTTTTCTTTTTTTCTTTTTCCTTTTTTCTTTTATCTTTTTTCTTTTATCTCTTTTTTTCTTTTATTCTCTTTTTTCTTTTATCTTTTTTCTTTTATCTTTTTTTCTTTTATTCTCTTTTTCTTTTATTCTCTTTTTCTTTTATTCTCTTTTTTCTTTTATTCTCTTTTTTCTTTTTTTCTCTTTTTCTTTTTTTCTCTTTTTCTTTTTTCTTTTCTCTTTTCTCTTTTTCTTTTATTCTCTTTTTCTTTTATCTCTTCTTTTATTCTCTTTTTCTTTTATTCTCTTTTTCTCTTTTTCTTTTATTCTCTTTTTCTTTTATTCTCTTTTTCTTTTATTCTCTATTCTCTTTTTCTTTTATTCTCTTTTTCTTTTATTCTCTTTTTTCTTTTATCTCTTTTTTCTTTTATCTCTTTTTCTTTTATTCTCTTTTTCTTTTATTCTCTTTTTCTTTTATTCTCTTTTTCTCTTTTTCTCTTTTTCTTTTATTCTCTTTTTCTTTTATTCTCTTTTTCTTTTATTCTCTTTTTCTTTTATTCTCTTTTTCTTTTATTCTCTTTTTCTTTTATTCTCTTTTTCTCTTTTTCTCTTTTTTCTTTTATCTCTTCTTTTATTCTCTTTTTCTTTTATTCTCTTTTTCTCTTTTTTCTTTTATCTCTTCTTTTATTCTCTTTTTCTTTTATTCTCTTTTTCTCTTTTTCTTTTTTCTCTTTTTCTTTTTTCTCTTTTTCTTTTTTTCTCTTTTTCTTTTTTTCTCTTTTTCTTTTTTTCTCTTTTTCTTTTTTCTCTTTTTCTTTTTTTCTCTTTTTCTTTTTTTCTCTTTTTCTTTTTTTCTCTTTTTCTTTTTTTCTCTTTTTCTTTTTTTCTCTTTTCATTTTTCTTTTTTTTTCCAATTCACCACTTTACAATGAGGTATATCTTTTTTTTGGCAAACATGAACAAGCCTGTCCACAATAAAACAGTATCAAAAGTATGGTTTTACCCATGACACTGCTTTTTTAACTTTGTTTACTGTTTTAAAAAGGGATGAATAGAATTGGAATAAAACCTAAACATGAGTAACAACAAAAATAACAAACACTATTTATTTATTAGATTGTTTATTTACACTATTCATCAGCTAATTGCCAATCAATTCAAAGTTTCTAAAATGATAAAGATTTCCTTATAGTTAACTCACATATTTTAATAAATGTTTTCCTTATAGTTGATTCACATATTTTAGTAAATGTTTATAAATTTATGAATAAAAATTGTTTATACATTTATTTGTTTTATAAATTGGTAAATGATAAATATTGCATTGCATTAGTTTTAAATGTGTTAGTTTTTAGAATGTTGTAAATATAAAATTATTCTTGTAAATAAACAATCTAATAAATAACTAGTGTTTGATATTTTTGTTGTAAATTCTCAAGAACAAAAAAAATGTATAAATTTACTTTGATCATGTTTAGGTTTTATTCCAATTCTAATCATCACTTTTTAAAACAAATACCACTATTTAAAAAAGTGTTGTGATGGGGTAAAACAGTCCTTTTTTGACACTACACCTTATTGTGGGCACATTTCTCCATGTTTGCCACTTTTTTTATCCTTACTTTTCCTCTTGCTTTGTTTTAATATACTTGAATATAATGGCTGTCTGCTTGTATCTGTGGATATCTGTCTGTTAGGGCATCTAGCCAATCCCTGTTGCAGACACTTGCTCAGGTACATGATCAACGAAATGATCGAAGAAGGCCAGTACATTCAAACTCTCAGTCACAATGATTTGTGATTTCATGCTAGCACAATCATTGACAATTTCCATCTACCCAATTTTACTCAAAGGATTGGGTCAACTTATGGTATGCTTTTCATGCACTTTCCAAAGGTGTTGCACACTGAGGTCACCTTCCTGACAAATCCGCCATGGTGAGATTTGAACCCGGGTCTCATGATTAGAAAAGTGAACACTCTAACCACACATCCATTCATATTTATATCATATTATATGATATATACTTTTTTAAAATGTTCGTTTTGAAAGTCATAATGAAATTTTTAACCCCGCAACCCTTGATTATTTCATTTGAACATTGTATTTTTGTAGTAAAAAAAAAAAAAGTAAAAATTTGTTCTGTCTATATTTCTGAGATGAGGTATTATGTACACTATTTACATTATACGAACTATTGTCTGAAGTTCTCCACTGCCTTAACTGTGTATTGAACTCACACTCTTTGGGTCCTGTCACTGGATCTAACCAATGCCTTTATCCACAGTGCCATGTGTCCTCAAGTTACTTGAAGATGGGAATTAACAGGAGATAACTGTTAACTGACATCCATTAAACATGGCACATGGAACTAGAACAGTCTACCCCAGTGAATGAAATAAAGGGTTCACTTCGACATTCCAACCACCTGAAGAAGGCTGGAGCATACAATGGCCGAAATGTTGTAATAAATATGGCGATAAAGATGAGGACAATAGTCCGAATAATGTAAATAGTGTAAAAATTTGTTGCTAGTTATGCTTTCTCCACAATTCATTGCTGTTTGTGCATGTCTTCAAAATGAAAGCTTTCTTTTTTTTTAATTTTTTTTTCTGTTCCAATATGTGTACAAAAATAAGTACATTTCTGAAAGATTGAATAATGTAATTGTATTTGTTTGTAATTCTGATCTTGCAAGCTATTCATAAATTAATTTAAAAAGAGAAATAACTCTTGTAATGTTAAACCCATTATAACCTTATGTTTTTATTTTCGTCATTTGTTTTAGATTTGAGAAACAAGATTTTTAAGGTAAAAAAAAACATTCCCATTTTTACAAAAAAACCCAAAAAACCTAGCCTTTTTATTACTATTGGATAATTTCAGTTTTATTACAAGATATTCATTTTTAAACAGTATATCTGAATGAATAGAAATTTGACAACTTTTTAAATGGAAATATTAATTCCTGATTCTTTAATTATTTCAGGTCCTCTTGACCAAATATTCTTCTAAAAACTCTAAAACTGAAGAATTAAACTCCAAAATGGAAGATTATGAATTAATGCCTTATGAGAAATTGTCGAATTTTTGGAATGACAGTTTTCCAGCAACTCCAGTTGAAAAAGAAAATCAGGATTTATTGAAGAAGTCTCCAAGTAAACAAAATGAAAACCACATGACCGGAATAATGAGTCAACTAAATCAAGAAAGATCTCAAGTTGATAATTTACGAGTTAAAAATAAGGCTCTTGAGACAAGAGTAAGTAATTCCTATTTTAATATATCCATTTTAGCTTTGTCCTAATTGCATTTAAACTGAAGTGCCTAAAAATTTAGAAATGGCTACATAATGTGCACTCTTGGTGGGCATTAAAATACATTGACTGTATCAGATACAGTTTGGTAGACCTTCCAAAAACAAGGTGGGACAACTTCCTAATGGTTACTTCTGAGTTTAGTGCATACCTGTCTAGCTTTTTGGAGTCTGGCATGAGCAAGACCTACATGTAGCTTTTCTGAATCTGGGGCGGGTCAGACCTACATGTAGCTTTTCTGAATCTGGGGCGGGTCAGACCTACGTGTAGCTTTTCTGAATCTGGGGCAGGTCAGACCTACGTGTAGCTTTTCTGAATCTGGGGCAGGTCAGACCTACGTGTAGCTTTTCTGAATCTGGGGCAGGTCAGGCCTACGTGTAGCTTTTCTGAATCTGGGGCAAGTCAGACCTACATGTAGCTTTTCTGAATCTGGAGCGGGTCAGTCCTACGTGTAGCTTTCATGAATCTGGGGTGGGACAGACCTATGTGTAGCTTTTCCGAATCTGGTGCAAATGAGACCTATCTCATGTGAACTGTGCTTATGTCTACCTTTCTATTAATTAATTCTGATTTTCGTCCTCCAAGATGAATTTGAATGCTCCTGAAACCAATTTCATGTCACCTGTATATGATGGGTGGTTGCATTATCTTGCTGGATCAATCACCAGTAGGGAAACATGGAAAGTCTAGATAGGTGAAATTGGTTTGCAACATAGTCTCTGTATGACTCACTTGGCAAGACAGATTCATCTGTAGTTTTATGCAGTCTTCTCTATACATAAACCTGGCTATCTGAAATAGCAGGAAACGTGATATGTCTGAACTGGCAAAACTGCATCAGTTGACCAATAGCTCAATAGCAGTGTTGTCTGTCTCAGTTGAAACGCAATTAACAATCTTGTAATGACAATAATAATGTCCATGTTGGTCAGTGACTATTATTATATAAAATATATAACTTATATACCTTCTTCCAGTTGTTTTATATAGTTTAAAGCAGTAGTTCCAAACTGATCTTGGGCCACGCCCCACTCTGGTATTTCTAAAATTCTGGTGCCCCACTGTAATATTTAATTCTTACATATTCAAAATTTTACTACAATTCACATGAAGGAAGCAAACTGAATGCTCACACGTGTGATTGGTTGACAAAACATGGGCTCTTCCATTGACATGCATCATGCCCTGTCTTTTGTTGACTGAAACACACTCGAGTGTGGGGAGATGGGAAATACCCTGTACGCCAATTACACATGTATGTACATACACACAAAATATTTTTATACTGTATATGCATCGTATGTATTAACACACATTAACACTCTCACTCAGACTCACTAGGAAACAATTCACTGTTAATAACACATTCTTGAATTGTCGCCTTATTCTGCTGGTATAGTAAGTTGAAGGCTGCATATCTTACACACACCCAACCAAAATATTACCATGCCTTACCGGTGGGGCATGCAACCCATATTGGGAATCATTGGTTTAAAGTGTGTGGCATGGACTCATAAGCTTTTAATTCAAATAGAAACATTTGAAAAGTATATGATGCACATCATCACAGATCTCAAGCTGATAGACAAATTGAAAATAACTATTCTTAGAAATGTAACCAATTTGCCTCCACTCTTTGATGCCATCCTTAGCAAATCCTTGGAACTATTAGAACATATTACAGTGCAGGGATTAGGGTGCTTAGAGAAAGAAGTAGATGAAAACTAAAACAGTGATGAAAGAATAACATAATTCTGGGGTCACCAACTGATGAATAGCAGACACTAAATAATCTTACTCAAGGTCATAATAAATGGTGAAGAATAAGTTATATTTGTTCCTAATCAGCTGATGAATGAAAAAGAATATTAATAACCCCTTGATGAGCTACTTTTAGAAAACATAAGGTTATGATGAAAGTGACAAAAGTATCAATCCATATTAAAACTGAATGCTAGTGTAATGGATATGCTTTTTGTTTGCTTACCTTTAGGTCAGGTGTTCAAATCCTGGCTGGATTCACTGGTTAATTTTATATAACCTCCTTGCATTAGTGTGACAGAAATTACAAATAGAAAAAGAAAAATATACAGAAAATTACAGACTGTTCATTATTGTATATTATTTAAAGAAAATTTAATATCTGTTTATATTGTTGATATAAGTAATATAGTGAGAGCAATTTCTCTAATGGTGTCAGGGGGTGGGGAGGTCAAATAATATATCTATTATATGTAGATGATAAAACCCTGAGAAATAGCAATATAGAGGAGTCACAAATATTTTAGGACTGTCTTTCCTGTAATGCATAAGAAATCGACCTTGAATTAGTCCACAAAAAAACTGTTTCAATAACAACAAAGTGACAACTTAATAGGCAAATGAGCAGAACAGGAATTGATTAAATGACTGATTTCATATCTCTTGGTCACAAGCTAGCTTGCAGGACCCACCAAAAAGTTTGAAGTAAAATATTGAATAAGTCCTTGGTACCTTGCTTTTGGAAAACATAGGGTATGTTGAAATCAAAAATAGTATCCATCTACACTAAAATGACAATATACCATCTTCCACTTGTTTTACATAGTTTAGATAGTGTGACATGGACTCATAAGCTTTTAACTCAAATTGAAACATTTTAAAACCACATGATGTACATCATCACAAGCTGATAGATAAATTGTAAATAACTATTCATAGAAATGTAACCAGTTTGCCTCCACTCTTTGATACCATCCATAGTAAATCCTTGAAATTATCTGGACACATTAAAAGACCAAATGTAGCGCTTGTTAAATTGTATCATAAGAGGATAGTGCCTGGAAAAAGAGGTAGAGAAAAGCCGAAATTTATGTAAACAGGTAACATAATTCTGTGGTCACCAACTTAATGAGTCACAGACACTATAATAAATGTTTGCTCAAGATTGTAATAAATGTTGGAAAAATAATGTTAGTTCGTGATCTGCTACATGCAGAAACAATGATGAATGAATAAGAAAAAATATTAAGTCCTTGATGGGTTACTTTTAGAAAACATAAGGTATGCTAAAGTAGACAAGAGTATCAATTTATAAACTACATCCAACAGCAAGGCCTCTGATCAGGAGGTTTTGACGTGGCGTGAAACCACATCTTAATTGCTAGTGTTCCCAGGTCCACCCTGACCCGGGGTGGTAGCACCTGTTAGAGTCCCAGCTATGGGTAAATAGTGAACTCCTAGTTTTTCCCATCATATATCCACGTCCTGGGCATGCTGATAAACTACGTCTACAAATAATGTTGCCAGCTATACGTTTTTGAAAAATAATGTTGCCAGCTATATGTTTTTGAAAAAATAATGTTGCCAGCTATATGTTTTGAAAAAATGATGTTTGCCAGCTATCGTTTACTATATTTATACATATATATATATATATATATATATATATATATATATATATATATATATATATATATATATATATATATATATATGTATGTATCTAACTAAATATGGCATTAAATGACCTACAATGGTTGATATGCCATAAAACCCAACCAACCAACCTTCATCTCAAATGTGGTTCATGGTGACATTGAAGGCAGAATAGTGTAATGGCTTGATGGTTCAATTGTGTGACATTCATTCATTTTATTCAGGTATCATATTTCACACTACTGAGGTCACTGCTCCCCTTCATCTCAAATGTGGTTCATGGTGACATTCAAGGTTGAATAGTGCAATGGTTTGCTGGTTCCTTTTGTACTGAGAATGTTAAGATTATCCTGTCTCTCCTCTCTGCAAGGTGAATTTGTTTTTGAAGTTACCTTCTTCTAGCCTTTGATCAAAGAAGCAGTAGATGGTTTGGATTCAGTTTCCTTCTCCTAGACTGGTTGCCACACAAGGCTATATGATCCAATCTATCCAGCTATTTTATTTATAGCTGGGGTAGAAGAGATGGATTCATACCTTTCCCAAGGGTATTAGCATGCAAATGAATATAATGAACTCAGCTGGAATTCAAACTTGGCTCTCTGATTCCTCTATGCGAGCTGTTAACCATTACTCCACCGTTTCTCCTCTGATTGTGTGACATGGGCTCAAAAACTTAAATTTAAACATTCCAAATCATATAATACACATCATTACAGAGCACAAAGTGAAAATAACCTTACTTAGAAATATAACCAGTTTGCCTTCAATTTTTGATACCTCCATCACAAATCCTTGAAACAAAAGATCTAGTACAGGGCTTACTAAGTTGTGGAAATGTTGCCTAGAAAAATTAATAGAGAAAAATCAAAGTAGAGATGAAGGGAAAACATAATTCTGTGGCCAACTACTGAGTGACAGAATAAACTTGCTGATGATTGTAATAAAGGGTGGGAATTAAGTCATATTAGTTTGCAATCTACTATAAGCAAAACAGTGACTAATGAATAATGTTAGTGACTATGAAAATTTCATGAAATGCCATGCATTCTTTGCAGTGCATTGACTGATAAGTTGCATCAGTACTGTAAAAAGGATGTGGTTTAATACAGTATTTCCCTAGGTTAGCTGATTACCATTCTTGTCAGTCCTTTAAATAACAAGCAATTTTAGGAAAGATGATTCTTCTGGTAAAATTTGGAATGTGCCAACAAGAATTGTGCTTAGAAAATTGCTAGTTCTTGCTAGACTCTGGTTAAAAATGCCACAAGTAGTTTATCTCACAGAAGAAGAAAATAAACTAGAATTTTGATTGTAACTAATGAAAATTATAACCTTAATGGCAAAGCAAAGACACTCAGACAAAGTAGAACACTGTCATAAGTAACTTTATTAAAACTCTGAGAATCCTGACATGAGTAAATTAATTGGGAGACCTCCAAACTTGACAGCGACTACAAAAAGATGCCTGCCTCAAGTGACTTCTAAACAACAATCCTGTTTCAAAGACCTCCAGAAGCAACTCCAGCTAAGCATAACTCCCAGAGGATGACAAGTATTAAATAAATGTGCTAATTTAGTTTATTGGTCAAGAAAGAAGGCACTTTCTCTGACACAAGTTTATCAGTAAAAACACACTGAATGCAGGGAGAACAAAATTACTTGGGGAAATGAAATATGGACTGATATGGTATTTCTTTAAAATTTGCTTATTTTTGATGGTTCGGATTTGATATAATGTTATTGGCATGATTTACATAAAGAAGAATGGATATTCTCAAAGAGATCATTTGGTAGTGGCTTTCTTATGGGAAGTCTTTTTGGGAAAAGGATACTCACCCATTAGAAGTAATTGATGTATGAAAAAAATGTACATTTAAGTCTTAAAAATGAGTTTAAACTTTTCTGTTGCTTCCCATTAGAACCATAAATTAATTTAATTTTTTTTTTTAATCCCATGACCTGTAGAGTTGTATGGTCAACATGTGTACTGCAGCCGCAGGAGAAGTGCTGTTTCTTGGGTAAGATAGCCCAACCCTCTCCAGGCCAGTTTTGAATTCAGAGTTTTTACTCCTAGACCGTTTGCCAGCTAAGGTTTACCTATAGAAAAGAAGAGGATTCATAACTTTCCCAATGGTATTCACACATAAGTAAACATAATGGATCTGACTGTAAATCGAACTCTGAGATATATAGATATTGACATTCACAGACAGACTTTCGCTGTATCATAGCTCGTTAAGTTGACTCTAGCTTGGAAGGAAACCTGGCTGAATTGCGTCAGTCAGAGAATCTACCCCTAAGCCTTTGGCGCACATGTTGGGCTGAAGCAACCCACGTCTCATATCCAAAACAATGACTTCATCACGTGTTGCGTGGTGTCCGTGGCTGGACTTGTAGTGTTTTAGGTTTTAATTAGGCCATGAATTAAACCTAACTTTGTGAGAATATTACTTTCAATAAATTTAACACCATAAACTAAGTACTTGTCAAGATTATTGGTAATGAGGATTTCAAGTTATAATATAAGAATTTAACAGTACATTAAATATTGCTGTATGTTTTAACTTACATATAAATCAAACTAAATCTTTTTTATCTATCAGAATTTACATGTATCTAATCTAAAATTAAAAGCAGGATGTAGCACTAATTTTAGAGATTTTTTTTTTTTATCCCATGAACTGTAGGGTCTTAGGGGTACCATGTGTACTGCAGCCACATTAGAAGTGTTGTTTCTTGGGCAAGATAGCCTGATGAAGCCCACCTCTCTCCAGGCTGGTTTTGAATTCAGTCTTCTCCTAGACCGGTTGCCACCTAAGGTTATAGAACCCAGTCTGTCCTGCTATTTACTCATAGCTGGGGGGAGAAGAAGATTCATACCTTTCCCAAGGGTATTTGCACGTAAGTGAATGTAATGAATCTGACTGGAATTTGAACTCGGCTCTCTGATTCCTCAATTTGAGCTGCTATCCATTACTCCACTTATATTCATATTGCAACAGCACAATGCCCCATCCATTCAGCAGGTCACCAAAAAATGGTTTGCTTTATTAGCGTGATCAGCAACAGGGCCATTACAAGGGTCTCGTGCCCCACCCGAAATCTATGATACAACCCCCAACCTTCAATGATATGGGGGAGCCCCCACTATACTACAGCTTAGTTTTCATTACATAGTGATATAATACAAATGTTATTGTAACCTAAATGCATACAATATTGGACCATATTCAATATAGGTGAACAATTCAACTAGAAGAATTGAAAATAAATGCAATGTATCTAAATACAAATTAGAGACATATAATAGATCATTACATCTTAAATAAATCAACAATGTTTTGCGCTAATTTTTAACATTAACTTTAGTTTTCTTGTTAAACGTTGAATAATTTTGACATATTCAACAATATGGATAAAAAATAGTGAATTTTTATAGTGTTTTTTTTTAAGACTTAGCATGAACAAAACAAATTTCATGGATTTGGGCATAAAACAAAGATCCCAGAATGACATAAAAATCTGTCGAAATTTTTCTTCCTTTAATACAGTCAGTTGTGCTTAGTTTAATTTATAACATATATAAATATAAGTAGAAAAAAAGTAAATGTTGATAGTGAGGGTCACAAAGCACTGCACTGGGCCCCCAATTGGATTGCACCCCCCTTGCCCTGTTTAGCAATGTCTTGTGACCTAAACCTTATGGAGAACTTGTAGGGAACCCTTCTCAAAAAAAGTTTATCTTCAAGAGAGGCAATTTGAGACAAAGCAAATTCTGATTTGTTATATGGAAATCAGCTGTGATGAAATTCTGGGCCTGGCACTGAATAATCTAATATCACAGATGTTCTGCAGATGAAAAGAGAGCAGCTTCTGAACTTATGTTAAAACTCGTTTTTTGTAAAAATGTTTTGTATTTATTTCCACTCTCAAAAAAATATTTCTAGCTTTTGTTCAAAAAAAAATATATATTTTTTTAAGTAAATGCTTCTTGAACTGACAATTTTGAGTGATTTATTTTTCTTTGTTAGAAAACGTATCGTTGATTTTCAAATGTCCTATAAAAAGTTACAAGCAAATTTATCGGGTATTTTTATATTTATTTCTATAGAACAGCAGAGTAAAGAAAGGAACTTGTGCAATGGTGGGTAACCTTGAGAGTTTAGATATAAATTGCAATTTAAACACACAACTCCAAATGATTTTACACAGTAGAAAACTTAATTGTTATTCTGGTGATGATTAAAATAGATGATCAACTTGTGATTTGTGTCATGATTTAACAAATGATATCTGTAAGTTTTGATCTTTATTTTCTAGATTCAAAATATTCAAGATGAAATGGAGACAAAAATAAAAGAACTAAAAAGGGAACATTGTGAAAATATTCAGAAACTTCAAAAAGAACATCAAGCTGAAATTGAATTGATGTGTATAAATAATCCTGATCGGAAAGCAGTTGAGGTAAATTACTTGATTTTTTGTCTTTTTTTTATTTTTGGAAAATCAGGTCTCGAAAAATAATTGAAAATTCTTGACTATATAACTATATATATTAACTACTTAGGAGTTATTATTTTACAATGAAAATAAAAACATTTTATAATACAATCATGTTAAAAAGCCCAGTGGATAAAGACGTTGCTTAGATTCAGTGACTAGACCCAAAGAGTTGTGAGTTCAATGGCAATGAAGATGAGGATAACAGTCCAAATAATATAAATGCAAATAAAAATTTCATCCATGACTGAAAGATGATTAGTTATCTTTACGAAAGTAAAAAAAAAATTAAATAACATTCTGATTGTTGTAAATAATTTGTTTTTCTAATCTTTATTTAGAGTAATTAACGATAACCAATTGCTTAATTAGTTGATAATCCTTGTATTGATATTTTAAATTTCTTGATTATTAAATGTTTTCTAATTAGTTGACACTTTATTTCTATTGTTATACTTTAGTCAATGGTTGTTGACCAGGAGACGTTAAAACATCAAGTCATGAATTTGTTAAGTGAAATTAAAGAAGCCCAAGATGAAAGAAAATCTGCTGAAGAGATGATGGCCAATAAAACAAGTCGGTAAGTTGCAACATTTTCTTTCTTTTTTTTTTTTTTCTCTCTTGCCTTTGTCCTTTTCTTTAGTTTTACTCCTTTTTCCTTCCTCCCCCTTTCATCTTCATTCTCTCTTTCATCTTCTCCTTTCCCCACTTTCTTCTTCTTCCCCTTCCTCATTTTCCCTCCTTCCTTCCTCATTCCCCCTTCTTTCCCCCTCCATCCTCCTCCTCCTTTTCCTCATTTTTCTTTCCCCCTCCATCCTCCTCCTCCTTTTCCCCTCCATCCTCCTCCTCCTTTTCCTCATTTTTCTTTCCCCACCTTCTCCTTTCTTCTTCCTTTTTTTACAGTAGGGTTCACCCTCTTCGAGACCTAGGGTACACTTGAGATAGAGGGTTATGTTAAGGGGTAGTATATATGGATAGGAGGGGAAGATAACAGTTGACCCTAGACTTGAACAGGTTAAGATTGTAGTGATTGGGGAAATATCCTCTTGGGAGTTCTGTTCCACAGGGCAGTGGTTTGTGGAAAGAAGCTGTTTGAGTGGAACTTCTCACGAATGGAACACAGAGAGAATTTGGGTGGTTTGCTACTATGTAAGTGGCATGGTGGGTCCTAGCTGTGAGGGTCGGACCTTGTGGAACCAGGAGATGTAGTTTGTCCATGCACTTTCCATGGTAGTAGCAATAGAGCAGTGAGAGACTCTCCACATCCCACTTGTAAGAGAGAGGTTGGAGGGTGGAAAACAATAATTCTCCAACAAGGACTCTGACACATGTTTGAATGCTATCAAGACTGGAAAGTGACGTCTGGGCAACTCTTGCCCAAATATGGCAACAGTACTCCATTTTCAGCCTGATCTGACTCTTATAATGGTCTCCGCCCCCATTCTTCTTCTTTGCCCCTATTCTTCTTCTTCGCCCCTATTCTTCTTCTTCCCCCTCCATTTTCTTCTTTTTAACCTTTCAACATTTCGTAAGATTGGAATAATTAACTTTATTATTGTTTCCTGATGTATTTATAAGCAGGTATTGGAAAGATTCCCAAATGTTTTTGCTGTTATTGTATTATCAGAAGTCTGCTCATTGGTCCCAGCCTACTGAGTTAGTCTGTCAGTATGTTTCTTGCTATCTGCTTATGTTCAATTATTACTTAAGGTTTTCTTCATGTTTTGTTAGAACGGCTCTGCGATCTTTACAGTGACTGACAAATTCAAGCAATGTACCTAATCTGGGAATATTCTGATACTAATTTCATTATTTTTTATTGTTGGTGATGGGCGGGGGGAGTAAATATTTTATTTTTAATTGTAATTATTTAAAAATAAATTCTAAGACTAGTTATACATTATTTTTCTCTGCCATTTAAAAGTGAAAAAAAGTCCATCAAAGCATAAATTTAAAGATTCATTTATTTTGAAAAACATTTTTATATTTTAAACAAATTGTTATATAATAGTGTATATTCATAAACTGATCTTAAGCAGCTTTTGTGGTATTCTGCTATGGATTGTATCAAGGCTTGAAATTAACATTGCCTCGGGGATGATAAAACATTATTTTGGTTAGTTTTTTGCTCTGATGATGCCTGGATGATAAAAAGAAAATTTTACTTAAAACTATGGTAATTGTAATATTAGCTGTTTCTTTATAAGGAAACATTTAGCATTTAACCAAGTAGCCAGTGTTACTGTCAGTTGAAATTTATAAATTTTTTCTTTTTTAAAATTCCAGGAAAATAGTTTTTTCACATCTACAGTTATCTGCTTTTCCAGTATTTGTGGAGGTTTCCTTCCTAACCTTTTGTTTGAAGTAGTGTGGAATGCCAACATCTTGATTATGTCATTATTTTCTCTTCAAGTTACATGTGATATGAGGAGGCATGGTGGAGTAATGGATAGCAACTTGGATTGGGGAATCGGAGAGCTGAGTTCGAATTCCATTCAAATCCATTACATTCACTTACATGCTAATACCCTTGGGAAAGGTATGAATCCTCTTCTTCTCCCTCCAGCTATGGGTAAATAGCAGGACAGACTGGGTTCTATAGCCTTGGATGGCAACTGGTCTAGGAGAAGGACAACTCTGAATTCAAACCCGGAGTGGAGCTCCTAAAATGGATGGATGGCACTTTGTGCTACCTTCCAGTAACGCCTGCAGCTGCGCTGGTACCAAACTGTATTGGTTTATCCTCTCCTTTGCTAGCAAGGCTGAGAGGGGGAACTAGACGTCCAGGCAGCCCTAGTTCTCCATATATCCTGCCCAGGCTCATAGCGCACAACGCTACTCCATCGTCTCTCAAGACGGACGGATGCTGACAACATGTGATATCCATTTTAGTTGTTGCTAGTCTTCAAGTGATGTGTTAAATTTTTTTTTTATCAATTATTATTCAATTGAAGATACAAGAGAGGATTTACAAAAGGATAATGAAACACATTAGTCATTGATGTGAGGCAGATAATTTTGAATTAAAATTTTTTTGATAAATAATTTAAAATGTTTTTGGATTGTGAATAATTGGAATGCATTAATATTCCTTACACAGAAAATAAATACATAGAGCACAATTCTTAATGTATAATAAAAGTTACTTTGAAAATGATAATTAATTAAAATGATCATTTCCATGTAAAATTATTCAAGGTAATTTAACTGAAATGTTTAAAGTAGAGTTGTGATTTTTATAAAATTACAATAAAACATAACTAATTTGTTTGTATTTTTTTTCATTTATAAAACTTTAAAATTTTAGCTTTTTTAATTTATTTCATTAATATTTTAATGATGCTTTAAAGGACTAAATGTCAATTGTAAGAAGACAATGTATGGTTGTCAGCAAAAGGGGCAGCCTAAGATGAGAACTGTGAATTGGAGATGTCAGAAGTACAACAATTTAAATATCTGGGAAGTGATTTAACAGAAGACCGAAAGTTCAACATTTGATGCATTGGGGTAGCAAAAAATGTCTTCCAAAAGCTAAGCAAAGTATTAAGAAACAGGAAAATTTGACACATTTGATTCTCAACAATAACTCTCTTTACAAAGATATGTCAATGAAACCTGATCTACAAACTGATTTCTTATAAAGAATACATATTCTATTCATACAAACCTATCCTAAAAATCTTGTTGGCATTGCGGTGTTGATATGTCGTAAAACAAAATAAACCAAAACCTAATTTTACATTTTCTTTTTTTACATTTATACAGAATGTCTTCTATTGCGTGCGGGTGTACTAAAGTTTTGAATGTTCTTTTGTTATTATATTTTGTTATAAAAAAATGAATTTTCTGTTGTGTCTGTATTTTTCAGAAAAAGAGGATTCACCTATATATAGGGCTAAATCAAATCGTATAGGAAATTTCCATACAAAATCCTTATTTCAACTGATGAAGAACAAATGCATATGTCATTTTTTAACATAGTCTCTCTGCATATCAGTACACTTATGGAATCATTCAAGAAGTTTCTTCATCCCATCCAAAAAGAAGCTTTTTTTTGGGAGTGGCGGGTTATAAAACCACATTTGCACTGTTTGCTTGTTTGGGTACCCAATGCTCACAAAATTTATGGTACCCCAAGTCATTATGCACTATGGCTTGTGCAGATCCATAGCTAATGCTCATAATTGCTACTACTTGTGTTAACATGATTCATTGGTCTTCACTGATCAGAGCATCCATCCTCTGGATGTATTCTTCTGTGTGCAATGTTGATGGCTGGCCAGATTGGCTTTCCTCTTTAAAGTATTCTATCCACTCATTGATTCATGGTGTGGGATTCATACCTCACCAACATCAATAAATCGGCTTCCAAAGGTTTAACTCCCTCTTCCTACTGAAAGTACACTATGGTGTGTTGATCCTCAATCATGCAATCACTGAGTAAAGCATCTATATGCTCTCTACCACCTGACTGAACACTGGAATACTGCATGCTGCTTGCCACCCATTATCAAATCTGTACACACATGGTGTCAAACATCAGCACTTCTCTGTTGTTTTTACTGCATAATTTCAAAATTACCTTTACTTTCTGATTTACCCTTCCATATTAGATATTTTATATAACTATTATGTAAACCAAGTCAAGTTTTTTCAAGAAGCCTCTTGAAATCCTGAAAGTGTCTTTCTGAGATTTTTATTTCTTAATTCCAATTAATTTTTTCAGGTGTAGACAACTTGAAGAAACCAACATTCGTTTACAGATGGAAATGGACAGACAACGTAAACAGGATGCTGAATTGATTCAAACTCTACAATATAGTATCCAAAATTATGAAAGTAAATTATCAACTGAGATTGAACAAACACAAATCAAACAGTATGTTTATTTCTTTTTATTTATATTATAAATATAATTATTTTATTGGATATTATTTATAAATACATCTTTATTAATTACTAGCAGTAGAGCCCGGCGTTGCGTGGGGATGTAACAGTAAGAGATAGATCAAGTATCGACCATCATAAAGACTGAAAAATAAAATTGACAAAGATTATTGTTTAAGGTTGATGGACACGCATGTCTTAATTAGTTTTTTTTTTTTTTATGAATTTGTCAAACTCAAACATTGTTTTCAACTGTTATGAATCTACGGATTGAATAGAATTTCATCATAAACAATTGTCTGGTAAATGGAATTTTTAAAGCATTCTGAATGTAAAAATAAAGAAAAAAGTGTGCAAGACAATAAGAACACTACCTGCCAAAAAAAAAGTAAAGTTTTGTTGAAATCGGTTGAAAAATGTAGGAAATCCGATCCCATATATAAAGGAACACACACACACACACACACACACAACCTGGGTTTTATAATAAGTATAATGTTGTGTCATGTATCCTGCTAAGTAAGCATTCTATGACTCTTCTAGTTGGTGTCCATTTATCATATGAGCTACCTGCTCATATGCAAATTATACTAATTTGCATCTCGCTACATCTCCCTATAACGGAGGAGCCTTATGCTGTGAGTACTTCTTGTACTTCTTCTTGTGCCCTCCTGAACATCTTCCTTTATCTCTCTCCTTTCCCTTGGAGATCTAGATCTATCACGTCTTTCCCTATAATCGAATTGTTCCTCTTGCATACTCTGGTCTTTCTCTTCTAACTTGTCCCATTCTACTTCTTCCTCTTCTAACTCATCTCTCTCTACTTCTTCCTCTGCAGTTTCATTCTGCATTAACTCTTCTGTTACGTCAATAATGAGCATCTCTGAAGGCATTTCCTCATCCGATTCTTCTCCTTGGGATCTTATTTGGTCAGCATGAGCTAGAACACTGTTCCCATTTTCTTTATTTAATATTGCAGTATTATGTCCTTTCTGCATAATAAATTCACCTGACACGGGTTGCATATTCCTATTTCTTTTGTACCACATCTTTTGATTTGTGGCATATGACATAGTCAAAGGGGACCTTAATTGTCTGCCCATTAAGGCAGATGGACTTTCCGGCCTGCCTGCATGTGGAATTGTTCTGTAACTTAACAGTATTCTTGGTAGGAAAGCATCGATTTCCTCCTTCTGTTGCAAGCATACTATTATGCCCTTCTTTACCGTCTGGACCATCCTTTCCGCTGCCCCATTACTTTGAGGGTGGTAGGGAGGGGTCTTGTATGGTCTGCATCCTATTTTTCTTAGCCATTCATGCAAATCAGCATCCACAAATTCTGGTGCATTATCAGTCACCAATGTTCTCGGTGTCCCATTCCTCGAAAATATTACTCTTAATATTTGTTTTACGGTGGTACTTTTTTTATCAGGTACTCTCACCACTTCAGGCCAACCTGAATATGCGTCTACTAATATTAATAATAGTCCTATCCCATTGACATAGGCATGGTCCATGTGTACTCTGCTCCATGGTTCTACTTCTCGGGGCCATACAGTATTTTCTTTTTGCTTAAAATTCCTGAGTTTTGTGCATTTTTTGCATCTTTTACGTAGTCTTCTCACGTCTCTTGAGTACCCGGCCACCAGGCTTCCAATTTTAATCTTCTTTGCGTAGCTGCCACTCCACAATGTACGCGTCATCGTGTACACTTTTTTATAACCTGTCTCCTCTATGTTTCTGGGGAACTACCAAGTCTCCATTACATATTATCCCGTTTTCTATAGTCATTCTATGTCTAATTTCTTTGAATGGTCTTTCAGCCATTGAACAATTTCCCCAGTGATTCTGTTTTATCCTCGACATTATTCTATTTAACACTGGGTCATTTGTAGTTTCAGTAGCCATTTTATCTACAGATATTACATCGGTTTCTACAAGGTGCAAGAATGTGTCTTCAAATTCCTCGTCATTTTGTCCTTCTCCTCTCTATAAAACCTCAATCTAGATAAGGCATCAACGTGCGGTATCGTATTCCTTTAACATATTCAATGTCAAAGTCGAACGCCATCAGTCTAATTGCCCAACGTAATATTCTGGACGTTGTAACTTTCGGTAGCTCTTTTCTTGGGTTGAAAATAAATTCCAGTGGTCTGTGATCACTTTTCAACAAGAATTTTTTTCCCATCAAAAACTGTCTTGCTCTATCCGTTGTCCACACTATGGCTAGTGCCTCCCTTTCTATATTCGAATAATTGTGTTCAGTTGTTGTTAATCTCCTTGATAAGTACATTATGGAATGCCCATCTTGTGACAAAATACCAGATATGGACTGCTCACTAGCGTCAGTAGTTAGAGTTATGTCCTTCTTAGGGTCAAAAATTTGTACTATTGGCTTTTTTTTGCCAGAATCTGTTTTAAGTTTTCAAAGGCTTTCTGTTGGTGTTCTAACCAAATGAATTCACATTTTTTTTTCTTAACTTAGCAAATGGTTCTGTCAACTCATTATATTTTGGTACATATTTTCTATAAAAATTTACCAAACCTAAGAAGGACTCCAACTCTTTTTTATTTTTCAGTGTAGCAACTTTTAGAATTTTCTCTATTAGTACTTTATCTGGAGAGATCCCTTCCTTTGATATTGAGTAACCCAAAAATGATATTTCATTACTGTTGGTTACACACTTTTTTGTATTTATTGTCATACCAGCGTCTCTCAGCTGGTTCAGTATATTTTCAGTTTTTTTCTTTAAATCATCTTCATTTAAATCTCCAACACATATATTGTCTTGATAACAGATGGTATTTTCAACATTTCCTATTACTTTTTCAATAGCTTTTTGAAAAATTGCACTTGCCGTTTTTATGCCATACAGCATTCTTTTCCGCCTTAACAGGCCTATAGGTATGTTTATAGTCGTCACTTCTTTAAAATTTTAATTTATCGGTATTTGGTGGTAAGCTGATTTTAGGTCTATCTTCGAAAATACTTTCATTCCAGCAAGTTTATGTAAAGCTACTTCCACATTCGGAATAGGATACGAGTCAGCACAAACTTTATGGTTCACCCCTATTTTATAATCTCCACAAATTCTCAGGTCACCATCTTTTTTTTTCAATACCACAATGGATGATACCCATTTACTTCCTCCTGGAGGGGCAGGTTCTAATAACTCTTCCTTTATTAGCTTTCACAATTTAGCTATTACCAACGGTAATAAATGCACTGGTATTTTTTCTAAAGCCGTAGTAGGAGGGGGAAACATCTTCTTTTAATTTCAGGCTAGCTTCATAATTTTTTAATTTTCTGTTTTTTTCTATTTCTATCTCATTAATCAACTTTGTTGAATTTATTTTTAACACGTCATTCCCCAGTAGTCCATGCGTTTTTTTGGCAATTTGTAACTATAATGGGTACTATTTCATATTTTTTTTTTAATTCTATTGAACCTTCAAAGTAACCCATAATTGCTATAATCGAGCCATCAAACTGACGTAATTTTACGTTGTTTTTTTTTAAAAAAAGTTTTCCCCTTTTTTTCCACAAATTTCTGGGTACTATCGTGACGTCACTACCTGTGTCGATTTGCATTTCGACAATACAGTCATTGATTTTCACTTTTATTTTGTATCTCCGTTCTTAGATCCAGAATTTTGTATATTATCCTTTTTACATTAAAATCTGTCTATTTTCATCCTCTACTCTTTCCACATTTTTTTTGTTTTACATACTTCTTTGAAGTGATTTTTTTAAACACTTTGAACACGTCTTTCCAAAGGCTGGGCATTTTCTTTTTTCATTTCATGAATTTTTTCCACAGTATGTACAATTTTTTTTTTTTTGTTTGTACCGTATATGTTTCAGCCATTATTTCTTCGTAGGATTTATTTTTATTTTGGTTGTAGGTATGTATTAATTCCTGCTGTTGTATAAATTCTATACACATATTCAAAGGCATGTTTGTAAGTTGTAACTGTTCCATTAACTTATATCTATGTGCCGAATTATGCATACCTTCAATTAGTCTTAGTTGGATTAATTCTTCTTCCGTTGTCCTCTTTTGTTGCTAGTTTTTTGAATTCACAGTATTTACTCGCACTTCTTAACCGGTGTAAATATTTTACTATCGGTTCATCTGCTTCATTGCCATAAACTTGGTCATTTCTGCAATCACCAGTCTTTTCTTTGGCCTCATGTTTCCCTTAATAACCTGACTTATTTCTTCGAGTTCTCGAGGGTAAACCATTGTAGCAACCTTCATAATCGCTTCACAACCAGCGGTAGCCATGAACAAGTCGGTGATTTCATTTTCCCCTCCTCTGTTTTTGTTGTTTTTCAACTTTTTACATCTTGCATTAGCAGCAAAGCAACGAATCCACATGTCTACGTACTCTGGGTCTTCAAGGACCAAAGAGTATCCTATCGGCAACACCATTGTTGTGTCGCGTATCCTGCTAAGTAAGCATTCTATGACTCTTCTAGTTGGTGTCCATTTATCATATGAGCTACCTGCTCATATGCAAATTATACTAATTTGCATCTCACTACATATAACTCAATATGAGTTGTTCCCCTTTCATTCTCGTGATGCCTCTTAATCGTGTTTTCAAATTGATTTCGTGCAAAAACAATTGTGTTTTTCCAATTTTTGGCGCTGTTTGAACCACCGCAAGGTAATTTTACGTAGTCCTGTGAAGTTTTGTTGAAATCTGTTGAAAAATGTAGGAAATCCGATCCAATATATAAGCATACAGATACACACACATAACCTAATAATAAAGTGTGTGTATATGGATATAGATGAATATGTGTATGTGTGGATATGTGAATATATTTTTATATGTGTGTACATGGGTATATGCATGTGTGTATACGCCTATGTATATACATGTATATATTGTTGTGTATATTCGCATGTGTTTTTGAACATAGAAATATAGGTCCTTGCTGGATAAGATAATCGTTATATTTATCTTCATATATTTATATTTGATTTGTAACCTGTAGTCGATATTAAATTTGTCAAATTTTCTCAATTACAAATGGCCCTTTAAGTAAACATAATTTTACTTTCCTTCGTCCCATCTCTCCCCCCCTCGTCTTTCCCTCCCTCTTATTCTAACATTAGATTGTCTATGGTGTGTGTATGTCACCACGAAATGTATCTTTATGCATTAGGCATCTGTCAACATAAATTTTTTTCTCTTAATTAAACTCCTTCCACCCATCTCTCTGTTAAGGTTTAATCTCCCTCCTCCTCATACTTACACTCTCTCTAAATTCTGTTTTTATTTCCGGAGTTGGTTTTTTTCTGTTTTCTTTTTGAATTTGTAGGTCTAATGAATTGGATCGTATTTACGATTCCAATGGAATAAATTATGACCATGGAATATTAGTGTTTAAGCCTTTTTATTATATCCTTACTCTGTCCTAGACATTGAGTTCTACCTGGATTCTTCCTCTTGGAATTTTTTTTTTTCTAAAAATTTACATGTATGGGTATTTATATATTTTGCATATGTATGTATATTTTCCACTAATATTATCTAATATATATATATATATATAAGTACCTGATTATGTGATTTTAGAAAAATTCCATATAGTCTTACTTTAGCCTTCCAATACTTCAGTACACAAATATTCCAAAATTACGTTCAGCATGAATTCTTTGCATTGAAAAAAGAATGGGGTGATTTTTTTTGATTACCAACTTTAAAATGTGATAGAATTCCAAATAATGCCTTATATTTGCACTATTTACATTCTTCAGACTGTTGTCCTCATCTTTGTTGCCATATTCACAATGTTTCAACCATTATTCAGGTGCCTGGAATTTCAAACTGAACCCTTTATTTTGTCCACTGGGGTAGATTGTTCTAGTTCCATATGCCGTGCCTTTTCTAGATGTCTCTGTATCCATTATCTTCCTTTAATTCATCTCTCCAAATTTTTGTTCCACTATACAACTCTTTGGGTCAAGTCATTGGCTCTGACTAACACTTTTATCCACTGGGCCATGTAAATAGTGGTACAATGGAAATAGCATAAATAATTACAATAACTCAGAAATATAAACAGATATTTTATATGTTGAAACAGTTGATTTTAGTTTTGTTTCATTTAAGTACTTGCTTACTTATTTGAATTTTAGTCTCTAAATCTCATTAGTTGTTCTGTGGTTTGGTTTGCTAATTGTTGCCTTTGCATATCTTGTCATTCAAGAATAAAAGTAAAAAAAAATCTCTATCAATATTTCATCAAATTCTTGTGCAATGTCTTCATTGTCATCGTGACAGTATAGTGCAATGTCTTCATTGTCAGCTTGGCAGTATTGTGCAATGTCTTCATTGTCAGCTTGACAGAATTGTGCAATGTCTTCATTGTCAGCTTGGCAGTATTGTGCAATGTCTTCATTGTCAGCTTGTTAGTGTTTTTAACGTAAAAGCCACAAACCAAATGGAAGAAAATCTGACATTATTCAAATGCTCAAATCTGTTTTTTGTTTCTGGTGGGTGTGCAAGTGGAATAGTTTTTTGTTAACACAACATTTTGGCTGATCCATTCTTCAGCCCTCACCAAGCATAAATAACAGCAATACTACAAAGTGAATCAAGCATCCAATGTTGGCTATATTAATGACTCGTCTCACATTTATAGGGGCTCCTTGCCACATCACAGTAAAACTCCAGTTCCCATCCAATCACCAAAGTTAAGCAATGTCGATTCTGGTCAGTACCAAGATGGGTGACTACTTGGAAATACCAGGTGCTGTAAGCTTGGATGTGTGGGTGGTGTAATGGATAATGAATCTGAATTAGTAATTGGAGAGCCAAGTTGGGTTCGTTATATTCACTTATGCACAAATACCCTTGGTATGAGTCCATCTCTTCTTTCCCCAGCTATGGGTTAATTAGTAAGACTTGTATCACTAAACCATTATTTATTTATTTATTTTTTAATTGGTATCATCCCACACAAGGCAGTAAAGCCACTAAGACACAAGTGGTTACAGGGTGTGGAAGAATTAGGATCAGAAACATTAATGAGCGGGAAGTGGATAGAGTAATTAGGAGGACAGTAGATAACGCTTGACATTGCATTTAAATTTTTTCAGATTAAGGTTGGCTAGAATGCATGGAGTCAGAAGGGAGTTCCACAAGTGAGAAGTGTGAGAAAAGAAACTTTTAGCATAGAATTTAAGGTTACATCTAGCCAGCTCAACTGTAAATTGATGAGATCTTGACACCAGTCTAGTATTGTACTTAAATAAGTCCAAGTCTGTTATATCCCAAAATAAAATGGCATATATATAGATTTCGGCATTAAATAACCAATACAGGTTGATATGCTGCCAAACAAAAACATCTGACCAAATTTATAGACAATGTAAATGGAATAATGGTGCATAATCGTGACAAGGGATTGTTCTATGAAGAAAGATATTGTTTTACTAAAAAGGATGCAGAATACAGTTATTTTTTAATCATTTCACAATTGTTTGACTGTTTTATTATCTAATTTTATGGATTTAGAAATATGAAAAGTAGAGAATTATTAAGTGATGAGTCAATGAAATCCTTTTAAATAATCTTTGGGAGACACAAAGTTTTATTATAGCTTTAAAAAAAATGGACATTTTAAAAGTATATATTCACATAATACAGTGGTTTCCAAACTTTTTTTTTTCTCTAAGCTACTTTGTCACAATGAAAATTTGTTTGCACCTCACCAAATTTTATGTGATAAAAAGTACATTTAAAAAGAAAACAGAGAAGGATAAAGGGAGATAACTGCAGATTCAAAATTGGAACATTATCATTGATAACTCTCTTCTCCAATTTGCAGACCCTAGTTACTATATTCTTGATACTTGATATAATGCCAAAATATCACAATGGTAAAATTGGTCAATAATTATTTATACCTATTTATACTGGGACTCATATAATAATATTTTAAATTTTGAAATCATATTTAATTTTGGTTTATGAACTTTTTGAAACTGTTTCTAAATCTTTGTCTTTCAATCATTTTGCCTCACCTACTATCTTCTTCTGCTGCACCTATGAGGCATGCTGCACAGTTTGCAAACCACTGACATATAATATTGGTTGAGTATCCTTTATCGAAAACCTCCAAGATCCAAAAGTTTTTCAGGTGCTGACATGACTTGCCACAAATGGAAAATTTCAGAAAGCACCGAGAAGATTCCTAGGTAATGTGCAGCTGTTGTAAGTGACCCTCATATGCCCTGGGTGGGGTTTCCCCAGCCCAGCTACATAGCCTACATTGGCATCAGGTCTTTTGTTAGCGATCATCACAGCAACACCTTTGTTTGTGGATTACTTACCAGGTGTTTTGTGCTCAGTAAAGATATTATTCAAAATATTAAGATGTCCTGAATTTATATATATTTTGTAAGTAGTGATCATGTTTTTTGTACACGTACAGAAAGTACAAAACATTATTTTTATGTGGAATCTTAATTTCACTACTTAAAAATCATTGTGAGCATTACATGACTAGCGTCATTACTTGTATTTGTATGTACACAAAATTTATTAAATCTTATATAAAACTACTTTCAGGGTATATGTTATTTATATAAAACTACCTTCAGAGTATATGTATAAGCTGTGTTATGAAATATCAACGGATATCATATTTATGCTTGGGTTCCATTTCCAAGCTGCACGATTTTATAGATGCCATATGAAAATTAAAATCTGTATTCCAAAATCTGAAAACTGTAGTACTTCTGGTCCCAAGAATTTTGGATAAAGGATTTTCAACCTGTATATACAAATATATTATAAAGTAATTTTCTAAAGAAAGATTTTATCACTTTTTAAACATTATTTTTAGTGGATACTCATTTTTGAGTCAATGCTTCGTGTATTAATCAGATTTTATAATAGGCCTTCCCTATAATCATTGATAAATAATTGTTTTGTTGTTGTTAATGATGTCTCTTGCCTTTGCATTGTGTAGTATGAATTGCAGCCAAGTTTCAAGCAGAAAATTCAAGAGATAAGGTTTTTGTATCAAGAGATGCAAACAGATAAGGTGCCATGCAATCAGAAAAAAAAAAAATTGTGGTCATTGTATTAAAAGAAATCTGTAAGACGTGATAATTACCTATCAGCATAAATTTCTGCAATTCCACATATTTCTTTAGAAAACCTCAATATATTAAGCACGATGGTGATCAAGCAAGGCTGAATAGTGCCTTTAAAGGACATCTTTCTCGTCAAACGCTCTCGATATTTTCATATTGGCTCAGTTCTGTATTCAAACAAAAGAAATTTTCTAAAGAAGTAATGCATTTTTTATTTATTATTAATTAACATAATTAATATTATTAACATATTAATTAACATAAATGTTTAAAGTAATAAAATAGAACAAAAAACAAACAAAACTGGTTATGACTGGTTAGCGTTTTTGTTATATTTTTTGGATTCACTACTGAATAATTTGTCTTTTATCCATTCTCTCTCCACTCAACCCCTTGTTTTAATATATTTGTATATATTATTTGAGTATATACTTTTAAAATGTCTGTTTTTAAAGCTATAGTGAAATCTTTTTGAAAAATAAATGAAAACCTTATTAAAAATATTCTACAGGTCAATATAATATTTGTTCTGGGTATGATGATAAACTATATTTGGCAGCAAGGCCTCTGATTTGAGATGTTTTTTTGTAATTAAACACAAGTAAATCACTGAAAAGGGAAATAGATACTAAAAATATTGAGTGTTTCTTATCTCATCTAAAATTAAAAGAATGTTTGGTTAAATTATAGTTTGGTCACATAATTTTATAAATAAAATTATTCTTGTAAGTACGCAATCTTATAAATAAGTAGTTTTTAATATCTTTGTCAAATTTCAAGAATAAAGAAAATATGTAAATCTGTTGCAGAGGTGAAGGTTGAATAAGTTTAAAAATTGATCAGAAAGCTGAGTGTATAAAATTTTACTCCTTCACAAACATTTATCTTTAGATGTATGGCACAAGGCTGACAATACAAAAGATCACAACAATAATGTAAAACAACAAAAAATATTTATATAGGAATAATACAAATTATCACAAATAAACTGGTCAGAATATTTAGCTGAGCTAAACTGAATTTCAAAGTTTAGTTATGTTAATTGGGCAAATTAAAATGTTTTATAATGTTCCTTCAAAACTGTTTTTGGTACAGAATTTTACAATGCAAAAATAAGAGTTCTTTACCATTAACTATGAATTTAATTATTTGAAAACTTTTCTTTGAAAGAGAGAATTTTATATGTGGTCTCACAATGAAAAAGACTTTGTCTTTAGAAGAAATGTTCTTTGTGAATTAGTTGAATGTTTTTGTGTAATATGAATATTGTGAGAATTTGTTTGGTAAAAAAGGAACTTTATATTATTACTTGATGTTTCAAGAAGTTTCTGTTTGGTACTAAATGAAATTTAGTTTTTGTACTTATGAAAATAAATACAATAAATCTTGCTGCTAAAAGAAAATGTTCACCAAAGAGTAAATTCCGTTGAATAGAAAGGAGGGAGAAAGTTTCTTGAATTGTGTCCTGAAAAGCTAAAATTATGTTTGGTAAGCTTGTAGCTTCAGAAGACTTTTTTTTTTTTTTAAGTAATTTCTTGCTGGTGAAGAATTGAAAAAAACTGGAATATCCAAGTTAAATTTCTTTAACCTTTCAGCAATATGTTTTGTTGACTTTTAAAAGGTCTCACTAATGGGATACATTTGCGCACCCTATTTATTTGTTTCTGTGTCACATGACTGGCTCCAGACTGCTATTCAAAAATATCGGTGGCAAAACCTGATTATGTAGGCGTCTTTCATATTTATTATTATTTAGCCAATCAGCAATAAGAAAAATAGCAAGGTCTGTGTGATCCACTTTATGCACAAAATTTTTCACTTTTTTAAGAAGACCTATAGTAATTGCATTGCATTATTTTTTAAACAATGATTTGTTGAGAAGAAATTTAAAACTGAAGTGGAATGCTAAAAATCCACTTTCATATGTTTGGGTTTTATTAAAATTTTAATCATTGCTTTCTAAAACAAACATTGCTGAGGAAAAAAAAAAAAAAAAAAGATGTAATAGAAGTGTTAAGGGAATAACCGTCTGTTTGATACACCTTTTTTTTTTTTTTTGTGGGCACAAAGATTAAATACTGCTAAAGATTGTCTCCCTTGAATAATTTTTTTTTCCTTTATAAAGGGTGTTCCAATAACTTGGACTGATTGTTAATCTTTCCATGATTGAAATTGCCAAAGATTTAAGTTGTTAAATCTGGAAGAAAAAGAAAAAAAATCATTAGACACTTAAACTTAATTCACATTTAAAATCAGTTCAAGTTATTGGAACACCTTTTAATATTAATTCTTCTATTTAACCCAAATTCTCTTACCTAATAAATCAATGACTTATTCTGTTTTCCTGTCCCGATTAATATGGGTTAATATTCAGAAACAATGCTAGTCAAAGAATAAAGTGAAAAAAATCCATTTCAAATGACTTTGAAATATTCTAAGTTTAAAATAACATTGTAATTACATCTCTTTTTAGTAGAAATGACATTTCCAAAAATGTTTTTCAGGGAACAAAACAGAAAACTCCGAGAATCATTTTCTCAATTAGTGGATGATTACAAAGAAATGTTGGAACTTAATCATCAGCTTGAACAAGAGGTAAGAGGTTTCTTTCTTGTAAAAGTTTGGAAATCATTGATTGATTTATTTTCAGAGGTTCATTTTGAAAATAATTTTTGCTGAATTATATACTGGAAGTTGTTTCAAGTAAAAAAAGAACTTTCATTTTTTTACATATTTTTTTTTCTTTTGAGTTTTTCTTTTTGTTTGATTTTCATCATTGCTTTTACCCATTGGCATAATTTGAAGGCCAAAGAATATATCACACCTGAAAACATCTAAAAGCATAAAAAAAATTGAGGTCAAATTGGCAAACAATTAAAAATACATGGGATAAGATTTCTGTTAAAAATTATATTTGTGTTAATTAATGCACATTGTGCTTAATCTCTACTTTGTAAGTAACGTTTTAGAATTTTTTAGATGAAAAAATTATCTTTCTATATTTCTGAGACGAGGTATTATGTACACTATTTACATTATTCGGACTATTGTCCTCAACTTTGTCGCCACATTTATCACGTTTTGGCCTTTCAGTATCTGTCTATATTTCTTTTTTTATATATTATGTACATTATTCAGACTATTGTCTGTTTTTATTACAACATTTTGGCCGTTGTACGCTCCGGCCTTCTTCAGTTTGACATTCCAACCAACTGAAGAAGGCCAGAGCATACAACAGCCGAAACATTGTAATAAATATGGCGACAAAGATGAAGACAATAGTCCAAATAATGTAAATAATGAGAAAATTATCATATTAAATCTAATATCCTTATCTTGGTTGTTTTAGTTACCATTTTTCAGTCTTTGTACTCTCTGGCATTTGTGTCTTACTGCGATATTATATTGAAACAACAGTTCTCATATGATCACTGAAGTTAAGCAACATTAAGCTTAGTCAGTACCAGGTACTGTAAACTTGGATGTGCAGGTGGTGTAATGGATAATGACTTGGAATTGTTAATCAGAGAGCAGAGTTCCAATTCCAGTTGGGTTCATTATATTCACTTATGTGCAAATACTCTTGAGAAAAGGTATGAATCCACCTCTTCTTCCCTCCAGCTATGGATTAATTAGTAAGACTTGTATCACTAACAGCATTATTATCCAAAAAAAGTGTACAAAATATTTAGATTTTAGTTTTAAATAATCCATAGCGGTTGATATACTGCTAAACAAAAACAACCAACTAACTTTTGGCATTCTTCAGGTCTCTCTTTTAGAAATTTTGAATCAAACTCATTAGCTTTGTTTCTGTTTTTTAAATTTTTGGCAGGAAGAATTATTATATGCTAATTTGAGTAATGGTTGTGGCTCCAATTGAGTAATCAGACCTGAGTTCAAATTCCAGTCAAGTTCATTTTCATTACATTCACCTGCATGCTAATATCCTTGGGAACAGTATGAATTTATCTCTTCTCCTTCAAACTATGGATAAAATAGTAAGACAGACTTGGTCATGTAGACTTGGGTGACAATCAGTCTAGGAGAAGGAAATAACTTGCTGCCTTGTAGGTCCTGCCTCTTTAGGCCACAGCTAGAACATGGTAACTTTAAAAACAAATCCAGCTTAACATCTCCGATGCAAAAGGAACTGGCAAGCCATTGCACTATTCTGCCTTGAATGTCACCGTGAACCACAATTGTGAGATGGTGGGGAGTGTTGACCACTGTGGGGCAAATTGCACTAACTGAATAAAATGAATGAATTTACTCAAACTACTGTCTTCATCCTGGTTGTTATAGTCAACCTGTGACATATGGACTAGTGGATATAACAGTTGGTTAAGTAGATCTGTTTATCCAATAATTGTGAGTTCAATTCCTGATTTGGGTAGTGTACTCAGAAGAGATGACTGACATTGCAAGGATTAATTAAGTGGAAAGAATTAACTGATCACAAGATATGTTCTAGTACGGACTGCAGAATGAAAACAATCTACTTTCAGGGATTGAATAGAAACTTTGATTTGAAATTCATGCAAGCTTACCAACTACAGCAGGCACCCAAAGAAGTTTGAAAGACACAATGGCCAAAACATAACTAAAACAAAGATGGGCACACTAGTTGGAGAAATTCCACACAGTTTTTTTCCTCAGAACTCTCACTTTGTGAAACCAATTCTCAAGAGGATGCTTCCTTGATAAACAATGATAACCTTGTCAAATCGAAGATTAACCAATATCTTTCCTCACATAATGTGAATGCACCTCTTTCTCCTTCTTTTACACGCTTGCAACAATCTCATTCATTAACCCTCTACCTTGAATGGCTCTTGAGGCTTGTATTGGGTGATCAATGTTTTAAAAAAGAAAAAGAAAAAAATTAGTTTTGGTTCAGATCCATAGAGGAATGACTGTAAAAACATTCCCCCTCTCCAAATTTATAGGCAAAACGCACTGATGCATGCTGATATTTTTTCCTTAGCCAATAAGATGGGCCACTTTTCGGTCTCATCCAACTTGGTTTCGTTCTATCTTGTCTTGAAGACAGAATGCTGTGATTGTTTTATCTGTATCCTTTTTGTGTGTTAACATCATTCTTAGTTTGTGAATTTTTTGCCTTACTACTGTTGCTTCAGCTTATTGCTGTTACTTCACCTTGCATATGTTTGCTTAATATTATTTTTGCCCTGTTCTTTTCTTTCTTTTGTTATTGTTTATGGCAAACTTTGTCAATTTTGTTTGTTGGGCATTTCTTCCAATTACGTTTAGTCATGGCCAATTACTCTACAATTATGATTTGTTTGCGCATTGATGTAGTAGTTTAAATTATTTGTTAATTTGTTGGGCTTAAATTTATCAGAATGGATTAGTAGAAAGAGATTGAATTAAACATCAATTCTACATTTTTTTTTTATTTGATTAGAAAAAGGTATTTAATTTTTAATTTTTCAATACAGCATACTTGTTTTTGTTTGCATAGAATTTCCTTTTTGATAAGTTTGAGTTATATATTTTGTTTTTAATTATTTCAGTTGAAGAATAATTCTCATGAGAAGCTGATGGGCCAAATTGATCATTTGACAGCTCAATTAATTGCTGCTGAAGAATCAATCAATCTAAAAAATCAGACAATTGAAAATTTGCAGGAAAAATTAAAAAAGTGCACTGCTGAAAATGACGACATACCATTATTACGTGCTCAGGTAAGAAGACAGGATTTTTTTTTCTAAAATATTGGAAACAATCTTTTGGAATTCTCTTGTGACATTAAAAGAATAAATATTTTAGCATTTGTGAAACAAAGCAAACAGCATCTTTTTTGTTTTTTTTGTTTTAAATGCTTCATTTGAATCATGAGTTTCTTTTTGGCTTACTTTATCAATTCACACCAAACAAGGCAGTAAAGCCACTAAGATGCAAGGGCTTACTGAGTGTAAAAGAATAAAAGGAAAAGAAAAACATTATTTTAAAAGTGAGAACAATAAGGGACAGGAATTAAGAAAACAAAAGATGACAATTGACATTGAATTTAAATTTTTGAAGATCAAAGTTGACTGGAAAGTTCCACAAGAGAAAGAAAAGAAATTGTTAGCATAGAACTTGTGGTTACATTGAGCCATTTCAACTGTAAAATGATGAGACCTAGCTGCCAATCTGCTTAAATTCATGAAATCAAGGTATCAAACAGGAAAGTTCATCAGAACAATTATAATATGAAAATATTTATAGAAAAGACACAGGGAAGCTATGTTAGGGTGGCAGGAAAGTGACTGAAGCTGAGTTGTCAGGACTGATAGCATTGTAGATTTTATCAGGAATTTCTAAATACATTGCAGAAGCACCATATCAGACGTGACAGTAATATTCACTGCATGGACAAATGGTAGACTTATAAATGTTTAAAATAGATTCTAGCAAGAAAAATTGTCTAGCATGTCCCAATGAACCAAACATTCCTAGCATCAAACCTAGCAATCGCTTCAATATAATCTTTCCACTTTATATGTCAACAGTAAATGTTAGCCCAAGAGTACTAAGGTGTCAATTTTCCTTTTATATAGACAAAACATTAAAAGATATTTCTGGAATTCCTTCTCATCCATTTTTGAAAAATTGGGTGATGACCCCTTTTTGACTATTCAGCCTTCTATGGTGTACCTTGTCTGCGATCTCGTTACCATTTGATGTGCTGCTGTGGAAGAGGCAGGTTTTATATAAGTTTGGTCATCTACTTGAATTGTTCGGTTTGCTATACATTACCTCTCTGAAAACTGCCTGTCTGATGTAGAATCGAGTGTGTAGGACAGACTGGCAGACTGATGTGAGTCCAGGAAAAAATAAGTAACACAAGACATGGGACAAGTACTAATAAATATATTAATGAAATTAAATGTGAAGAGTTCAAAGCAACCTTCAGTATCTATCTCTGAGGTACTTACATGTCGACAGGAGCGAGAAGAGAATGTCTTGTCACTACTAAGTTCATCAAGGGAAAGTGAGAGAGAGTCCTTGAAATCTCACACTGCTTGTAATCATCATCATCAGGGGACAGTAACTCAATATCTTGCTGTCTGTGATTATCATCGGGGGGCAGTAATTGAATAAGCTCTTCTTTTTAGGAGCTATATCAATTTATTTTTTTTTATTTATAAATTTTTTTTTTGTAGGTCCTGAAAAGGTTCTGAAAAATTTTATGAAGAGAATTTTGTCTGTTTCTTTATTCCATTATTTAGTGTTACACAAATGGGCATGTGGTCAAGTGGTTAAAATGTTTGATTTCCAACCATGAGGCTTGGTTTCAAATCTCCCCATAGCTGATTTGTCAGTGACTTCTTCAGGCCGCTGTCCTGGGGTGGCAATTCCAGATTGTAGGGAAGTACCTGAAAACCAAACCACAGGTTGTCCCAAGCCTTGTAAGTGAAATTGGGTAAATGGAACTGACTGGAAGTTGTTAATAGTTGTGTTAGCACAAAGTCACAAGTCATTGTGACTGAGAGTTTGAGTGTACCAGCCCTGTTCAAACTCTTGATCATTATAATTATGTGCTCTTTCCCAGAAACTGTAACCAAGGTCTGCTCAGCATAGTTACATGAATGAATCACAGGTGGGCATTGACAGCAAGGATTGGCTAGCCATTCTAGCAGATAGGCATATTTTCAAACAAGTTGCCAACCATTATTACAACAAGATTGAGTGATAAATAAGGTCTTCTGCAGTGTAGCATTAATACTGGAAATACGGTGGAGTAATGGATAGCGGCTTGGATTGAGAAATCATAGAGCCAAGTTCAAATTCCAGTTGAATCCATTACATTCACTTAAGTGCTAATACCTTTGGGAAAGGTACGAATCCTCTTCTTCAACCCCCCCAGCTATGGGTAAATAACAGGACAGACTGGGTTCTATAGCCTTGGATGGCAACTGATCTACCGCAGAAAGAAATGGCAACCTACTGTGGGAAAAAATCTGACTCGTCAGTCAGGTATCGAAAGATTCATGATCGTCTAAGCGTGTATCACGCACGGCACATAACTGACTGACTGACAGTAACATTTATTCAGTAATTTATAAAGTCCTCGGTAAATGTACATAGTTACCTACCTATCCTAACCAACCACAGTTGACATTCTTTCCATGGTTGTATACTATGTACTTTACATATGGTTTTAAATTCAGTTGTTTTTCTTCTAGACATATTGCTAACCATGGTTAGAGCACTGTCTGCCCAACTATTTAATATGTACCTAGGGAAAAGAGGGGAGATTGATTCATACCTTTCCCTAGGGTATTAGTGTGGAACTGACCGTAACAATTTCAGCTGGAAATTTAAACTCAGATTGTCGATTTATCATCCCTAGCTGCTACCTATGACATGTATTGTGCATCCTTAGGCACATGTAACATGTCCAAGTTACACATGTGCTTTTACAGAATAATTCAGACATTTTTTCACATCAGAATCTATCTTACACAGAAGTCTACCATTCTTCCATCATTGATATTCACATCTGGTTTGGTGCTTCTGTTATGTATGTAAATATTCTTGATAAAATCCAAAGAATCTGCAATGTTATTAGTCCTAATCTGACATCAGTCATGTTCCTAGCACTCTAACATAGCTTCCCAGTGCCTTTTCTATAAATATTTTTATCCTAATTGTTCTGATTAGCTTTCCTTTTTGGTAACTTGACCTCATGAATTTAAGCATAGTACTAGATTGGCAGATAGGTTTTATCATTTTACAGTTGAAATGGCAAGATGTACCCATAAGTTCTATGTTAACGGTTTTTTCTCTTACACTTCTCACTTGTGGAGCTCTCTTCTGGCTTCTTGTTTTTCAATTAACTTTGATCTTCAAAAATGTAAATGTAATGTATCTTGTCTTATTAATTCCTGTTCTTTTATTGTTCTCTCTCTTTATTATTTTTTTTTTTTATATACTCTCACACTTAGTAACCCTTTGAATCTTGGTGACGTCATTGCATTGATTGGTATGAAATGATTAAAATAAATAAGGCCTGAAAGATTTTTTGCTTTCATGACAATGTAAGGCTACATTGCAGTCAGCAAAAGATGATGAGCCTAAAATTTACAGTTGTTTCACACTCTCTGTACAGACCCAGTTGGCCAACAGTTGGTTGTTTCCTAAATTGAAAGTAGATTTGAAAGGTTGATATTTTTAATTTGATTCCAGAGCCACATGTGCAACTGAACTAAAACTAAATCAAATACTTCACTAATGGATAGAAGAAATTTTTCTCGCCAGAGTCGATCCTTCAAATCTACAAATCAACCATTTGCCCTTGCATGGAGTATTGCAGCCATATATGGTCTGGAACCCCTTCTGTTTGTATCAAGGTCCTTGATAAAATCCAAAGACGGATATGCGTTTTAATTGGCCCTGATCTGGCATCTCGTCTGCCGTCGCTTCCCTTTGTCTTTTTTACAAATACTTTCATGGTAACTGCTCCGATGAGCTGCATTCGCTGGTTCCCAGATTCCATGAATTTAAGCATTCAACAAGGCTCACTCTCACCCTTTCACTGTCGAAACTGCTAAATATAGCCATCTCTTCTACTCCAATAGCTTCATGTCTCGCACTTCTCGCCTGTGGAACTCCTACCCTTTTTCCTGTTTCCCTGATAGCTATAATCTCCAACTATTCAAATGTAATGTCAAATCGACATCTCCAGATGCCCTAATCTATCCCCTATCCTTCGCTTCATCCTTTCCTCTATCACTCCTCTTTGCTCTCGCTCCAACTGTCTGTAACCCCTTGCGTGCTAGTGGCTTCCCGCCTTGTTTGGGGTGAAATGCTTAAAAAAACAGTTGAAAAAAAATAAATTTGTAATTTTGAAGAGAAATTTATTGCATTTTAGTACCACTTTCATTTTGTAATCTGGACTGAAATTTGTTTTATATTGGAAATCAACCTTTGTAATTTTAAAGAGAAATACATTTCCTTCATTTTGATAGCAATTTCATTATTCTATCTGATCTGAAACTTTTTTTTTTTTAATAGAATTGAAGACCTATCAATGAACTCCCGTAATTTTGAAGTGAAATAAATTTCTTTCATTATTTGATCTGGTCTAAAACATGTTTTATAGGCTTCGAGACCTTACTTATCAATCAACCCTTGTAATTCTGAAGAGAAATTTCTTTCATTTTCATACCAGCTTCATACCTGGCCTAAAACTTGTTTTATAGGATTAGAAACCTAATTTATCTATCAAGCCTTATAGGTTTCAAGTATTAACTGATACATTGAAACTCTTTTAGAATATTAAGAAAAGACCTTTTCTCCATTGATTGATACCTGTGTATTTTTTCTATTTCTTTTACTAGGCTGATATTTACAAGGTTGATTTTAATGCCGAAAGAGCTGCACGTGAGAAAGAACATCAAGAAACACAGAAATTAAAAGAAGACCTTCAGAATTTGCAGCTTCAGAATCGTGAACTTTTGGATCAGTTAGAAGCACTGTCCCGAGACCAGTTATCTGAAATGCGACAACGAGTCTATCCCCGATATAATGCCGGTGCCTATGGCAGAAATCCCTACGGTCATGGTACATTTTCGCCTGACCCAAGATCCTCCACATCAGGATATTACATGCCTTCATCCATATCAGTAAGTAGGATTTTGATTTTTTTTTTTCTGAATTGTTGTGTAATGGCTATAGGCTTGGAATGAGAAATTAGAGATCAAAGTCCAGTTAGGTTCGTCATTCACTTACGTGCAAATACCCTTGGGAAAGGTACGTGTCTATCTCTCCTCCTGGCTATGGATTGAATAGCAGGATATACTAGGTTCTATAGTCTTGATTGGCAGCTGGTCTACCACAGAAAGAATACAGCAACCTACTATGAAAACATCTTCTGCCAAAGTCAGTCATGAATCGAAAGAGACATGATCACCCAAACCTGTATTACATATGGTACTTAATGAATGGTTTCTTTATGACCCTTTTCTGCCAATTAGACCTTGGTCAAATGCTGTCGCTTGCCATTGGTTTGGTTTGTTTTATGGCATATCAACCTCAATGGGTTATTTAATGCCAACAACGTTTTTTTTTTTCCTGGTAATATTTTGTTTTGTCTAAAATCTATTTCTGGTAGTATTTTCTTCCTCAAAAATGTATAGCTGGTAATATTATTTAAAAAAATTTATTGCTGGTAATAGTTTTTTTATTTCAAAAACATATTGCTGGTAATATTTTTTTTCTTCAAAAATTCATTTCTGGTAATAATTTTTTACAAAGTATTTCTGGTATTAAAACCTATTTTTACACTTTCATAATGCTTTTTACCTCAGTTTCGGGGTTAACTATTTACCCATAGCTGGGACCCTAACAGGTGCTACCACCCCAGGTCAGGGTGGACCTGGGAACACCAGCAATTAAGAAGTGGTTCCATGCTCCTCAAAAACTTCTGATCAGAGGCCTTGCTGCTGGACGTAGTTTATCGTCTTACTCTGGGCACGGATGTAGTTTATCATCATACCCAGGACGGATTGGGTTGGTCACCCTGGTCTAAACCATTGCTCTACCTATACTGTGTTGTTTGATCATGGAGCCACAAAGATTAAATTGACACCAGCAAATGTAGCGTTGATCCATTTCAAGTAGAGCTGTGTCACAACGGAATTTAACAAAAAAAATCTCCTTGCATATAAAGAAAAGACAAGTTCTTCAGAGTCTAATTCTATGAAAAATTATATATTGTTTTTATACAATAAATTGGTTCTGGGTACAAAACATTAATCCTACCCATTTTTTGTTTTATTGTAACACTATGCTCAACTAGTTAAGTCTGGAACAAGGCTCAAGTTAAAGGTTCTCTCTGGCAATAAGTCACATGGGGTTTGGCAGAGTGGCTGTCACTCATCTGGAACTTCTCTGTCTTGGTCATCTCAGTATTCTGCCTATATTGATTTTCATCCCAAACTGGCATGGGGGTTGACATGGATATGGGGACTTACTGCTTTCCCTATCTCCAACAAGAGCCGCCTTCTTGTCTGTCTCTGGATAATTATACTTCCAAATTTGGTGAGATCCCATTTCTAATTGGTACCAGTCACAGCATATCGATCTGCCCAATTCCTTTCCTCTCTTATTTGTGCCTCACACCAACACTTCCCAATGGGTGTAGGCAATTCCTCCGTCTTCCTCATTATTTCACCCATGCCTGTCACTTTGGATCTCCTTCAACCAATCTGGCACTCAACCGTGTGGTATGGCTTAGGTTGTGGTCATTAATTAAAATTATCATCTTAATTTTGTGTTGGCGAAATTTCTCATCCTGACTTTGTTCAAAAATCAGAAATTTACCAGCTGCTTTTTCTGGTCAGTCATCCCCCCCCCCGGCCAACAATCTCCCCAATTTCCTTCTTTCAGTTTATCTATCGTTCTGTTCTTTAAAGCTTCTTGTCTTGTTCCGAGCTAGGTTTTTAATTTAACGCCTTTTCTTTCCGTTTGTCAGTATCACATCTTTAGATTTTGATTTATAATAAAATCTTTTCTGCCAACATAAAATGCCCTCTTTATATAAAGAAGTGTTAGGATCCCTTGTCAACATGGGGCCCTTCTCTACAGAACAATGTGTAAACTTACCCTGCTAACATACAAAATCTGCCTAGCAAACCCTCTAAAGAATAAGGTTATTTAGATAGCTTGTGTATAGCTGCAACTTTAAAAAATCTGCTAATTAGACATGCCCACTTGATAATTCCTAAACAAACAGTTATTTAGTTAAAATGAAATCTTGCTAAAAGCATCTTTTAACTTTTTTTAATTTGCTTATAAACCTAAGATGTAAATAGGAGTAGATAGGTTTGCCTATCACCCAGTTCACACTCCCTCCCTGTCTTTTGAACAAGAGTTCATTCCTTGTTTCCTGTTTAGAATCGGGTTTCTAGTCCCTTCTAAAGTCTTCTCATTTTCTTTAACTCCCTTGTCCTGGGTATAATAATAAACTAGCAAGACCTCTGATCAGGAGGTTTCAAGGAGTGTGGAACCACTTCTTAATTAATGTTGTACCCAGGTTCATCCTGACCCGGGGTCATAGCACTTGTTTGGGCCCCAGCTATGGGTAAATATTGAACCCCACAAACACTATGAAAGTTTAAAAATACATTTTTGTAGTAAAAGTACCATCAATATATATTGTTAAATAATCAAACTACATTTCCTTTGTAATTGACAGCATCTTATTGTGTTTAGTTGAAGCCATAAAATTGTGTTCAAAATAACCTATATGCTGCTAAACAAAATCAACCAAAAAACTTCAACTTCCAGTAGCCCCCCCTTGCATCTTAGTGGCATTAACCTCTAAATCAAAATGAAATGATTTAAAAGAATATTTTGAATGGTGAGAAAATATGTTCTTGGTTATTTAGATTTTTCTGGTTTCAGGATACACCTACAATTGATTGCATTGCCAAATGTTACTTCTTTATTGTCACTGGCACCAATTACTAAGTGAGGTGTAATGTTTCGTGGGCATAGGTAATTTTTTTCTATTCATTATTTTCATCCGTTGCCTGTGGTTTAGTGTTTTGTTTTTGTGTATGCACCGAGATGTGATTATTGACACATTCTCCTGTACATTCCAACTCACGGTGGTTTTCTTGACTGGAGACTATCTTGAAAGGTAAAAGAATTATAGGTAGAAAAAAATAAACACCAATGTAAAAATTCACCAAGAATTTAATGCCAAAGATTGTGAAAAAGGTTGCAACTACTCTTGGTTGATTTTCTCCTAAGATCTTGAGACATCAAGAAAAGGTTGACTGCTAAGTTGGACATTTGAGTCTGCATGTTTCTTTTGGCTTGAAGAAAGAAGAATACAAAGATAGAGAGACAAAGCACTCTCACAGCAAAAAATTCTTGGGTGTGAAATCTCAGCATGAACTAAATAAGCAGCATGTTTTGACTTGCACAGATATCTGTCTAAGGAATGGCATTTATGGATATTATCTCCAAAGAACTTCCTATAATGATGCATATGACTATAGTTCTGCTGTTTGCTATCACTATTTTTTACCTTTTGTTTGCTTCACAACTGGATAATATTGTTTTATATATATATTTGAATAAAAAATGCCACATAGAATCTGTGGTATACCAATGCACAATCTCATCTATTGAGAATCCAAATATTGAAAAGATATATATAGGATCCACAAGAAATGAATTTAAAATAAGATGAAGACTACACCAAAGCTCCTTCAATAATATTAGAAACCAAAATCAGACATCCCTATCTAAATATTTTTGGCATTTAAAAAAAACAAATAAAACACCAACAGTAAAATGGAAAATAATAAATAGAACAAGAACTTATAGAACCTGGGATGACCCATGCCCTTTATGCCTACATGAAAAACTACACATTTTCAAGTTTCTGAAAAAAAAAAAATTATTAAATCAAAGAAATGAAAGAAGTTTTGAAGACACCATCAAATTTTTGCCTTAAAAAATTAATATTTTATAAATAGATAGGAAAAATTTCACAAGAGAAATTAAATCGTAAAATATATATAAAAAATTTTCACAATACCATATAAAATCTATTTGCAAATTCAGTTAAAACTATAAGTTTAAAAATACAACCCAATTATAATCTTAGCATCCCTTTAAGAAACTGAAAAAAAAAAAACACAAATAAATAAAGACCAAAAAGACTGTAACTAGAACATCAATCAGTGTGAGTTTTAGTAGATAGTAATAAAAAAATAACAGAACCTGATGGCCATTGTAACCAGACAAAAATCCACCAACTCGACCTTACACGACTACAAAAACTTGACATATAATAAACATCCCTACTTTCATCAAAGCAGAAACCCCTTGCTAATGAAAAACACATCCCAGATTACAACTCTATTTCCAAACTATAAATGAGTAAAACATTTCTTCAGTGAGTTATTCCAAACATGGCTTGAGAATGAAATGGTCATCTAACGTTAAAGTAGGTACCTTCACAAGATCGCTAAAAAAAAAGCATAGCATGATGAAAAAGATGCCAAACTTGATGAAATCAAAATTTTATCGTCTAAATGTTTATGTTATGAAGAGGAAAGACCAAAGTTTATTTTAATTATTTTAAAAAATTTTTCCTTCATTTTAGAACATTCTAAATTTTGATTAAAAAAAACCTTGTTTCTCTTTTTATCACCAGAACTAGTAAAATAACATATACAATTTTTAGCGGGTTTTTTTTTTTGGTATGACACACATCAATTTGGAAAATCTTGTAAAAATAAAAATAATTGTCGGATGTTAATGAAACTTTCAGAAACTATTCACAAATGATTGAAATTATTATAAATATGTTTTTTTTTTTTTTTTATTAAAGTCATGGCAGAAATATTTTTTTATATTTATTACCCCCACCCATAACTAATTTTATGAAAACTCTAGAAATTTGATCAAGTCCACTTTAGTGATTACAATAGTAACAAGGCTTTGAGGAATGCAAATCATATTTTTTTTTGGTTTTAATTGGACCCCCCCCTCCACCTGAAAATGAGCTCTGAATTGTAACATACAAAACTCAATAAAACAAAGATATTATTCAATTTCAAATACTTTTATTTGCTTTTATGAATATGGACAATATTTTCTAAAA